GACAGGTCCATTGCTCTGATATCAGTTCGAACAAGATGAAAATACATGGTGCTGATGACCAGCTGCACTGGACTCATCAACATTAGTGCCAGAAGTCTGAGCAAGAAACACTCGACACGGTGTCATATCTTGTGGAAGTCAATCAACGCAACCGGGAGCAGCACTAACATCACACACTCACTGTCTCACTTGTCTCATCAGAGACCAAGTCTTTTGTTGAGCGAGGAAGACGGAGAGAGACCGTTAGATATCGTTTGCGTCGCTCCATCTCTGGTTCCTGACACCTCTGAGTTTGCCTTAACTGGCCATTACCACCAATAGCTATGGAGACTGTTGGAATGAACACGTCATCATAAGACTGATGGGCTGAGAGTATATCAAACTCCCTTCTCTGTGTTGGACTGATAAGGCCGCTGGTTGGCGAAACGATTCCACAATAAAGAATAAAAAGGCACAATACCTTGACTTGAACAATACGTAAATAACCCGCACATAGGAGAGTGAAACTGAAGACGACGTTTCGCTCCGACTTGGACCATTAACTAGTGACACGATTGTGATTCCACGAGATACACAAGTGTTACACATGTGTCTGATTCACGTAACCAACACCAACAGCCCAGCTGGTCATAGACCGAACCTTAATTACAGACCGGAGGTTCAAGCCTACGTCACTCGTTGCTCTTAATAAACCACTCGGGTTCAGCCTTCCATGAATTACAACACAATACCGTCTTGACTGACCTTTGACCGAGCTCACTTCCTCGTAGCCTCGTGAACCCTAATATACCCATTCTTGAAGCTGCGTATAAAGTCTGCCTCCGTCACTTCTTCACACAGCTAGTTTTAGAAATAACAGAGCTTTGCCCTGATCCAGGAGGGCCCTGAACCCTGTTAGCCCAGGGTACACCAGTCAGATATCCTGGACTACACTAAAGGAGCTGAGGTAATGGAAGAGACGTGAGGGAGTGATCTCAGTAGAGGAGCTGAGGTAATGGAACAGACGTGAGGGAGTGATCTCAGTAGAGGTAACAGGTGATGGTGGGAGACCTTCCACCCACTACCGTAACACCACAAGACTCCTTCCCCCTCACCACCCACCACCCACCACCCACTCTTCCTCCTCCTCCTCCTCCTCCTCCTCCTCGCAATTCCTTTCTATTTTTCCCATGATGTTGCTACGAATAAAGTCACAATGGGGCAGAGAGAGAGAGAGAGAGAGAGAGAGAGAGAGAGAGAGAGAGAGAGAGAGAGAGAGAGAGAGAGAGAGAGAGAGAGAGAGAGACGTTTTATCCCAGGTACAAGACCAAATAATCATATCTTCAATAATTGTACACAAGAGAGATACAGGAATGCTACGTGGACCTGCAGGTCAGTAGTCACTGCCTCTAAACTCTGACAGCACCAACTAGCAGACACAAGGGAGTACTTGGAGTACAAGAGAATACGTGTAGCGCAAGAGATTACATGGGAGTACAAGAAATAGAATGAAAAAAAGCCGGGTTTGATGACAAGGCTTTACTTGGGATATCCAGCGTTATTAACCTTCCGGGTTAATTAACACAAAGTGTTTTTCAGTATAGTCGGAACTCACAAGACGAAAATCCGGGTGTTGGCCAGCAGCTACAAGACGAAAATCCGGGTGTTGGCCAGCAGCTACAAGAAGAAAACCCGGGTGTTGGCCAGCAGCTACAAGAAGAAAACCCGGGTGTTGGCCAGCAGCTACAAGAAGAAAACCCGGGTGTTGGCCAGCAGCTACAAGAAGAAAACCCGGGTGTTGGCCAGCAGCTACAAGAAGAAAACCCGGGTGTTGGCCAGCAGCTACAAGAAGAAAACCCGGGGTGTTGCCAGCAGCTACAAGAAGAAAACCGGGTGTTGGCCAGCAGCTACAAGAAGAAAACCCGGGTGTTGGCCAGCAGCTACAAGAAGAAAACCGGGTGTTGGCAGCAGCTACAAGAGAAAACCCGGGTGTTGGCCAGCAGCTACAAGAAGAAAACCCGGGTGTTGGCCAGCAGCTACAAGAAGAAAACCCGGGTGTTGGCCAGCAGCTACAAGAAGAAAACCCGGGTGTTGGCCAGCAGCTACAAGAAGAAAAACCCGGGTGTTGGCCAGCAGCTACAAGAAGAAAACCCGGGTGTTGGCCAGCAGCTACAAGAAGAAAACCCGGGTGTTGGCCAGCAGCTACAAGAAGAAAACCCGGGTGTTGGCCAGCAGCTACAAGAAGAAAACCGGGTGTTGGCCAGCAGCTACAAGAAGAAAACCCGGGTGTTGGCCAGCAGCTACAAGAAGAAAACCCGGGTGTTGGCCAGCAGCTACAAGAAGAAAACCCGGGTGTTGGCCAGCAGCTACAAGAAGAAAACCCGGGTGTTGGCCAGCAGCTACAAGAAGAAAACCCGGGTGTTGGCCAGCAGCTACAAGAAGAAAACCCGGGTGTTGGCCAGCAGCTACAAGAAGAAAACCCGGGTGTTGGCCAGCAGCTACAAGAAGAAAACCCGGGTGTTGGCCAGCAGCTACAAGAAGAAAACCCGGGTGTTGGCCAGCAGCTACAAGAAGAAAAACCCGGGTGTTGGCCAGCACTACAAGAAGAAAAACCCGGGTGTTGGCCAGCAGCTACAAGAAGAAAACCCGGGTGTTTGCCAGCAGCTACAAGAAGAAAAACCCGGGTGTTGGCCAGCAGCTACAAGAAGAAAACCCGGGTGTTGGCCAGCAGCTACAAGACGAAAACCCGGGTGTTGGCCAGCAGCTACAAGAAGAAAACCCGGGTGTTGGCCAGCAGCTACAAGAAGAAAAACCGGGTGTTGGCCAGCAGCTCAAGAAGAAAACCCGGGTGTTGGCCAGCAGCTACAAGACGAAAATCCGGGTGTTGGCCAGCAGCTACAAGAAGAAAACCCGGGTGTTGGCCAGCAGCTACAAGAAGAAAACCCGGGTGTTGGCCAGCAGCTACAAGAAGAAAACCCGGGTGTTGGCCAGCAGCTACAAGAAGAAAACCCGGGTGTTGGCCAGCAGCTACAAGAAGAAAACCCGGGTGTTGGCCAGCAGCTACAAGAAGAAAACCCGGGTGTTGGCCAGCAGCTACAAGAAGAAAACCCGGGTGTTGGCCAGCAGCTACAAGAAGAAAACCCGGGTGTTGGCCAGCAGCTACAAGAAGAAAACCCGGGTGTTGGCCAGCAGCTACAAGAAGAAAACCCGAGTGTTGGCCAGCAGCTACAAGACGAAAATCCGGGTGTTGGCCAGCAGCTACAAGAGATAAACCCGGGTGTTGGCCAGCAGCTACAAGAAGAAACCGGGTGTGGCCAGCAGCTATCAAGAAGAAACCCGGGTGTTGGCCAGCAGCTACAAGAAGAAAACCCGGGTGTTGGCCAGCAGCTACAAGAAGAAAACCCGGGTGTTGGCCAGCAGCTACAAGAAGAAAACCCGGGTGTTGGCCAGCAGCTACACACCAGTGTCGTTCCTCCAACTCACTGACAATATTTTAAAGGCAAGAACTATCAAGACTTGCAGAGTCGAGTACAGATAACCAAGTACTGAATATAAGGAGAATGTTGAAAGATTTATCTGTCATCGTACATGTAAGCACATTGCTGTTTATCTCTCGTGTTCCACAACTGTAGTGCCTGGATGCAAGGTTACTGTCTACCTGTCTACTGTCTCACAATATTATTCACAAGGACTTTTGGTGACATCAGTCACTGTAGGATTGCAAGATCAGGTATGATGTGACTATAATAAGGGTACACAGTACCGACAAGTTGATAAGACACATGTGCAATAGTTAGGTATCTTTATTCACATTGTTCCAGACTATGGAACAGAGCTCTTCTCCAAGCTGAGGGACTGACCACCCCAAAACTACATCTTCGAGGGTGGTGGACTGATCATCTTTACGTCTCTACCGCTTCTGCTGCCTCCTCTTTACTCGACTGAAGAGGCCTACTGTGTAGGCGAAATGTCACTCAGTACGTGTCACTAAGTATAAGAGATATCTGTGCTGATGCCACCAGGACCAAATTGATTCCACCAGCATAACTGACCCCACCACGACCACAGGCAGTTCTTCAAAACCTCACTAACACACCAAGACCATATTTAACCCAACAAACCACAACCACCATCTATCATTGCGCTTTGTCTCTGAACACTGGAGAAGAGACGACAGTGTAACCTGGCAAGTAGTATGACAGGCACTATTTGTTGACGAGAAATCTTCATTTCTACCTTTCGCTCAAACCCGGGCCTAACAAAGCCCAGAACTGGCAAAACGTCGCCATAAAGGTTTCAAAATATAGAGTTTTTCTTTAAAAACATTTATATAGCAAAATGGGCCGAGGGATAGTGTGGGGCGAATAATTTTGATCCAACACTCGCAGTCCTTGGGTAAACTGTTCTTTAAATACAGCGGGTATTGTAGTCCGATGATTTTTGTCTGTTCTAGAGGTGTGCAAGATCACACGTGTCATTCTAGGCTAGATTAAGTTAGGTGTTACGGGTAACGTGTAGGTCCAGTGTTGACTGGTACTTCTTTGTAGATTCGCCAGTATAATCCCCCGGCTCGGGCTTTTTCCAAGTGGTGGCCCGGCCTTGGCTCCCTTTCGCGGGAGTGTCTCAGACCAATGTCTGCCATGGGAGGAGGTACAAGTACTTCCTCGTCTTCTGGGACCAGCTGTCCCCAGGCCTAGCCCCATTTCCCGCCCCCACGGGGCTCGGAGGGAGAAGCTAGGCACCTTGGGCTGCCACGAACCTCACCACACTGGGCTCGAAGGGTGTGATACCTACACAGCAGCAGGCAATGTCAGGAGGTGCAAAAGCAGCAAGCACTACAGGATCATTTTGGAGTCACCCCTTCCAACAGCTTCGGACATTACGTCCGAGCGATGGGGAAGCTCAAGAATGCCTCTTGGTGTGAGTGTTGCTACTGCTAGTTCACGTGTTGCACCTGTGTCACAATAACTCATCAGTGCTTATAATATTTCACTGTAACATGTAGCAATCTTTAGACTTAC